AGTAACCAGAGTCAAAACAGGCCCTGGCCTGCCAGGGAGCAGAGTCCTATAGAGCCTTGCCTCAGGAAAAGGAAAAGCTCCAAACTGGGAAGGGCCAGCGGACAGGGGAGGAGGAGTCAGCAGACAGCAGAGCCGGCCAGCCACTGAGGCCTGGGTTTCCAGGAGCCAGGGCACAGGGGTCCCTGCTGTGATAAGCTACGAAGACAGCCAGGGAAAAACCAGGCCAGGCTGGGGCCCATCCACAGGGCCAAGTTCCCTCTTCCTCCTTTTTCAAGGCAATGATTTAAAAAAAAAAAAAATGTAGCTGTGTGTGGTAGCACAAGCCTGTTATCCCAGCATTGGGAGGTTGAGACAGGAGGATCACTGCAAGTTCCAGGCCAGGTAGGCTATGTAGTGAGTTCAAGACCAGCCTGAACTTCTAGTGAGATTCTGTCTCAACAACAACAACAAAAGAGATTTGCTTTTTAGCCCTCTATTCCCAAGCTGGGCCATTGCCTTCTATACTAATAACAACCTTTTCTCTTTAGCTTTTTACTTTTATTTTGTTAACTCATTAATTTGAGAGGGCTAGAGATTGAACCAGGGCTTCACACATGCTAAGCACACATTCTGCCACTGAGCCACACACCCTCAGCTAATTTTCTTTTTGTTGTTCAGGGTTTTTTGGTTTTTTGAGAGAAGGTCTCACTATGTGACCCACACTGGCCTCAAATTAAGGGTGATCCTCCTGCCTCAGCCTCCTGAGTGCGGGGATTACAGGTGTGTGCCACCACATCTGGCAGTATTTTTCCCCCTCAGCCAATTTTAATATCACTCTAAAAATAGTTCCAAAAATAGAAGGATCTAGACATGGTGACACACACCTGTAGTCCCAGAATTTAGGAGGCTGAGGCAGGAGGATCACAGCAAGATCTAGGATAACCTGGGCTACAAAAGGAGCTAAAGACCATCCTGAATTTTCTAGCAAGATCCTGTTTTAAGAATCCAAAATAAGGGCCGGGGATTTAGTTCAGTGGTTTTGGTTGCCTGCTGTGCAAGCGCAAGGACCCGAGTTCGATCCCTGGTACCAAAAAAAAAAAAAGAATCCAAAATAATAATGATAATGGAATAATCAAATATCCTTTATCTAGATATTCTGCTTCTAATGAGTCCATTTGCCTTATCATTCTCTTTTCTTCTCTCTTTAAATACACACACACACATATACATATTCATATATTCATCTGTGTGTATATACCATATATGTACATGTGTATGTATTTATACAGGCTTTAGCCTGAACCATTTTTATTTTAATTTTTTTTTTAACCTGAACCATTTTTACATTGAAGGCATTATGACACTTCACTCTGAAATACTTCATTCTCTTTTGTAATCACAGTACAATCATCAAAAATCAAGAAATTTAAAGGGCTTGGTAGCCCACACCTGCGATCCCAGCATACCAAGAGGCTGAGGCAGGAGAATTGCAAGTTTGAGGCCAGCCTGGGCTACATAGTTAAGACCATATCCCAAAAACTAACTGAATCATATTAAAAGGGCTGGGAATGTAGCTCAGCATGCTGTGAATGTGATCCCTAGTGTCAACAAAAGAAAAAAGAAAAATTAAGAAACTTAACATGGAGACAGTGATAAATCTAGTCCTTTTTTTCCCCGAAGCACTGACATATAGTAGGCAGGTGTCCACCACTATGGTGTCTGGTCTGCCCATCCCACTTGCTCTAGCATTATAGTAAATAAAGGCAAAGTTTGTGTTAATGTAAAAACTATATCAATCAAGGGAAGAAAGTTAAATTGCTCACTTCTTCACCATGTAGGCTTGCTATGAACGCATCCTCCCAGACTTTTTCTATACTATAGACGTTTATATGTAGCATGTCATATGCCTCATGTACGTTCCTATATGTTGTCTCTTATCTTGCTGAAAGCACAGCCTAAGGGAACAACTCTCAACCTACATGTGGTGACAGGTTTCCTGCCAGCATCCGTGAGGTGTCTCAGGAACTTGTCAAAAATGTTAAAGCAAGTACAGTTTGTGAGTCATTTCCTTTAAAACTCTAGAGTGGCCAGGCATAGTGACACATGCCTCTAATTCCACCACTCAGGAGGCAGAGGCAGGAGGATCTCTGTGAGTTCAAGGCCAGCCTGAACTACATAGAGAGACCCTGTCTCAAAAAACCAAGTCAAACCAAAAAAAACCCCTCTAGAATGGATTCAAGCTACACCCATCATATTCTCATTTCTGACTTTTTCTTTTTCTTTTTTTTTTGGTACCGGGGATTGAACTTGGGACCTTGCACTTTCAAGGCAGGCATCAGAAACACTGAGCTAAATCCTTGGCATATTCTCATTTCTGTATATTCTGAGATAATTCTTTGCAAATTAAAATATTTTTTGCCTTTTTTTTTTTCCTTGATCACTTGAGACAGGGTCTCACTACACAGTTCAGGCTGGCCTTGAACTCACTATGTAACCCAGGTTGGCCTCAAACTGGTGGCAATCCCCCTGCCTCAGCTTCCTGAGTAGCTAGAATCACAGCTTGAATCAAGCCCAGCTTGAATATTTTAGTTTTCCAACTCCATTTCCTTCCTTGACCTGAACAGCTCAGGCAACAGAGCTATGGATCTTTCAAGACCTTTTCCTGAGCATTCACTGTTCGGACCGGACTGCCACGATAGGCAGAGATTGGTGAGGGGCCTGATTACAGGGCCCACAGGCCTTTGGTTGGACTTCGTGGCTTGTGGAAAGCCATAAACATAGCACTCCTGAGACAAGATAGCTCCTACTGAGGGCAACAAATTATGAAGCCCCCCAGGGTAGGGAAGGACCTTAACTTTTCCCTTTGAGATGTTAAACTTGCTCCCTATCTTGCTCCTCTACAATTTTTGGTGAGTAATAAAAGCGGGCCCATCCTGGAGTTCGGGAAGCCTGTCCACTAGACAGTTTCCTCCCGTCTCCTATTGAAAATCGTGTACTGTGTCTGTCTTTCTTTTATTCCCCGTCTTTCTCCCTACCGGTATTCGGGAGTCTGAAGAGCTCCCGAAAATTTGCCCCTGTGTGTAGAGAAACACATCAATTTTGTTTTGTTTTGCTTTTTCCTTTTGTTTTAGGAGACAGGGTCTTGCTATGTAGTTCATTCTGGCCTTGAATTCATTATGTAGCCCAGGCTGGCCTTGAACTCTGTGCGATCCTCCTGCCTCAGCCTCCTGAATGCTGGAATTATAGGCATGGACCATCATGCCTGGCTCAGAAACACATCGATTTTGTGAGCATGTATTATGTGGCAATACGAGTGAGTTAATCCACATTATATCACTGAACATCTTGCTTTTGGTCATGTAGTAGTCTTGGAGATTTTCCATGTGGTGAACATGGATCTTCAAATGACTAAATGCCTTTTGCTGCTTGGATGTACAGATGCCCCTTGACTTAGGATGAGCTTCTTTTAATAAACCCATTGTAAGTTGAAAACACCTTAAATTGAAAATGCATGTGCTAGATCTGACTTAGCCAGACATGGTGGTGCACACCTGTAATCCCACCTACTTGGGTGGCTGAGGCAGGAGGATCACAAATTCTAGGTTAGCCGTGGGCCACTTCATGAAACTGTCTCAAAATTTTAAAAAGATTTGGGGAGTAGCTTAGTGGTGAAATGCCTGCCTCGGTGTGCAGAGCCCTGGGTTTAATTGCCAGTACCACAAAAATAAATAATAAAAATGGACCTGACCTCCTGAACATCCTAGCTGAACCCAGCCTGCCTAAATGTGCTGTTGTGCTCATCAGCCTACAGTTAGGCAAAAATCATCTAATACAAAACCTATCTGATTTAAAAAAAATTTTTTTTTTCCCTGTACCAGGGATCAAACTCAGGACCTTGCACTTGCCAGGCAAGAGGGTGCCACTGAGCTAAATCCCCAGCCCCTAAAAAAAATTTTTTTGAGTCAGGGTCTTGCTGTGTTTTGCAGGCTGGGCTCAGTCTTGTGACTGGAGGGTCTGCCTCCCTTAGGCTCACAGGTAGCTGGGGCTACAGGTCCCCAGGTCACAGACACTATGAGAACAGAGCACCTGCCAACCAACCCCTGTGGAAAACAGTGAATTTCTGGGTGTGTTCCCGCACCACTCTAAAGTGGAAATCATGGAGCGACGAGTCAGGGACTGTGCTTATTCCCCATTGAACGCTATTTGGGTTCTGCTCTGTTCTTTGTCACCAAGAATGCCACAGCGGATGCTCCTGAGCTGCTGCTAGACATGCAGGGAGGGGAAGAGCAGCTGGGCGGGGTGCAGATGACTGGCTCCTTGCACACAGCCACGGGTGGGTGGCAGAAAGGTCCTCTCAAGGTCATGGTGAGGCTCCCGGCTAAGACCCCAGGACTTTCAGTGACAAAGTCAAATGTCAGGTGGAGGGGAGGGCAGGGTGGACAGAAGCAAAGGCAGAACAAGCACTGGCTGGAGAAGACTTTACGAGAGGGTCGGTGAACTGTGCAGGGCCGGACAGGAAATGCTTAAGCACCAAGGACCAAGCTACCCCTCCTCTCTACCATGTAGCTCAGAAGGTGCCCTAGTGATAGAATCAAGGGCCTGTGCATGCTAAGCAAGCACAGTCTCTACCACTGAGCTACCTCCTCAGAGATCCTTCTGCCTCAGCCTCCCAAGTAGTTGGGACTGAATTTGCACACCAACATACCCTATTTATATTTTATAACTTTTATACCTCATGAAGTTATATTTACTTTTTAATTTTTTCATTCATCTAAAAAATGTATAACCATTCTCAGCTGGGGCTCTGTCCACCTAAAATGGAACGACAGGGCGACTGCCACTGTTAACAAAGAGATAATCCAGGGATAACAGAGACTGCAGACTGGGATCCCTGTGCTGTGGCGGACCCTTCATGCTGCTGAAGACACTGGGGCAGAGGGAAGCTTTTAAAAGAAAGAAAGGAAAAGCCTAGTATATTAGATTTCCCATCACTGGGATATAAAATACCCAACAGCCACAACTCAAAGGAGAAGAGGTTTATTTGGGTTTCCAGTAGGTTCAGTCCATGGTAGGCTGGCTCCAAGGCGGAGATGCCATGGTGGTGGGACTGGGAGAGGAACCCTGCCCACCCCATGGCATGCAGGAAGCTGAGAGAGAGGAGTCAGGACGAGAACACACCCTTTCCAACTGAGCATGGTGACACAGGCCTGTAATCCTAGCCCTTAGGAGGCCGAGGCAGGACGGCTGTGAATTCAAGGCCAACCTGGGGTGTGTAGTAATGCAAGTCCAGCCCAAACTGCATAGCAAGACCCTATCTCAAAAAAAACAAACAAAAAGAACACACCTTTCTAGGTCATGTCCCCAGTGACCCACCTCCAACCAGGCCCTACCTCCTAACAGCACATTTAGCCACTGAAATCATCACTGGACGAATCCAAATTATCTTTAAACATATGCGGCTTGCAGGGGTATTTTACATCTAAACTATAACATCTGCGTCAACCGGTTTGAAATAAAGACCATTGGCTACAGAGCTCGTGGTGGGAGTTAGCAGGTCTGGTTGGGGCAGGAAAGAGGGATTCCTTCGATCGATCGTTCTGGTCATGCGTGTGTGCGGGCAGGCAGTCACCTCTCAGCTCCGAGGGCTCTCAGGGTGGTGCTCAAGGGCCAGAGCCGGGTCATCAGCACTTCTGGGAGATTGTTTTCATGATGATCTGCAGCAGGAAAGGAAGACACAGGAGCCCAGAACTGGAGTAGAGAAACAGGCTGGTCTTTACAGACCTGTGTTTCTTCTGCAGTTAAAAAATAAACATTTATGTAGCCAAATTCATCTATCCCTTCCTTTATGGAGTTGGCTTTTTCCAAACTGCTGAGGCAACTTTTTTCATCAGCTCCCAAGCGCTGGGATTAAGCTGGCTGTGGCAGTGCAGGGCTGTAATCCCAGCACCAGGGAGGCTGAGGCAGGAGGATCACTGCAAGTTCCAGGCCAGTCTGGAACATAGTGAGTTCAAGGACAGCCTTTTTGGAGAACCTGACTCAAAAGAAAAAAAATATACAAAAAATAACCAAGGGCTGAGATTACAGGCATGCACCACCTGCCCGGCCCGGATTTGACTTTTGTCTTTAAAAGCCTAGACCCTCTCCTTCCACCCTGCCAGCGCCTAAAGCGGATCCCCCCCCCCACCCCAGGGCCCCAGGCAGCCTCAGGTGAAGAGGTGGGGTGCAGCCGAGGGGCTCCTCCATGTGTCCCTCCTCCTCCCCTCTGTGTGTGAGGGGCAAGGACAGGGCAGGAGCCCTACCTGGGTTACCACGTAGTCCTTCTTGGTCAGGTTCTCAATAATACTAAAGTGATCCACATCGGGTAGTTTTTTAAACGAGGCTTTCCACCCTCCTCGGCACAGGGTCTGGGTGGGAGAGAGCGGGCAGGGGAGGCCTGAGGCACAGGGAGGGAGACAGACTCTCCCTCACCCGGCATGCATATGGCAGCCCCTCAGCCTGTCTCTGCTGAGTCCCTTTGTGCTAAATGACTATAAGGAGGAGACTGCGTGACCACCAGGCCTGGACTGAGTGCCGGAAGTACCTGACAGAACTCCCAGGACTGGCGGTGGAATTCGGGGGACTCGTGCTCACCCACCATCACCAGGATAGGGCAGGCTAGACCGGCAGGCGGTGCCGGGGCCACATCCAGGCGCTGCTGTGGGCTGTTCCTCAGCGCATCCTCCCTGGGGCCGGGTGTGGCAGGGGTCAGGACAGAGGGGTGCCAGGCCCAAGGCCGGGAGGAGAGAAGGGGAGGGCAGGCAACTCACAGGGTCAGGAGGAGAAGGGCATTGTTGGAAGTGTGTACAAAGGGCTCCAGGTCGTAGATGCCGCTCACCAGGAAAAGGCCTGTGGGGGTCAGGAGCTCAGGCATGGGTGGAGCGAGAGGGGATGAGCCCACCCTCCAGGCCAGAGGAGCCGGACAGGGCTGGGAGCCAAGAAGAAGGCTGGGCCCCATGGCAGAGAGCCAGCCTCCAGGTGCAGCCACTCAGGGTTTGGAGCAGCTGGCCCAGAGCTGCCACGGCTGGGAAGGGCAAAGGCCACCCAGTCAGCATGGTCCCCGCATTACCTCTGAGGTTGGGCACAACTCCATGCTCGGTCCAGCTGGCCAGGAGCACCATGCTGGCCAGGTGGGCTCCAGCAGAGTGGCCACACAGGTAGATCCCCCTGCGTGGGGAGACAGGGAGCGGCTTCGAACTCACTTTCCCCGAGATCCTCCCGCCCAGGGTGCCCACCAAGGCCCCCGGTGAGGCTCACTCATTGCATGGATACCGCTTCTGGATGAACATGATGCTGCGGGTCACCTGGTCTACCATCTGGTCTAGACTCCCTAAACAGCAGAGGCCAGGTCAGGACCATGAGGGGTGCTCTCCCCACAAAGCCCTTGAACCTGCAGGGACCACCTTGTCACCTTTGGGGGCGATGTCGTAATCCACTACAGCCACGGCCACTCCCTGTGCTGTCAGCGGGTCGACCATGAAGGCCGATTGGTCTTTACTGCAGAAAGACAAAGAGGCGACACTGGGCTGTGACACTGCTTCCCCCGTGTCCTGGACACGCGTCCCAGGCTTTGTCCTCACTGTATCACATGCAACCCTTGAGAACCTGGGGACTTTAACCTGTAAGGCTTTGTCCCTCACCTGTAATATAGCTGTTTCTGAGACCTGAAGACACGAAGCAGAGAGAGCTTTGCATGTGAATACCCTCTTCTTTTTTTTTTTGGTACTGGGAATTGAATTCGGGTTCTTGCACTTGTGCAGCAGGCAGCAAAACCAGTGAGCTAAATCCCTGGCCCTCCTCTTCTTAAATTTACAATGACCAACATCCGGTTGCCTGGGACCTTCCCTCTTTACAGTTTTTTGTTGTTGTTGTTGTACTGGGGATGGAACTCAGGATCTTGGGATTGCAAGGCAGGTGGTGGAACCACTGAGCTAAATCCCCAGCCCTCCTCTTTACAGTTTTAAACACCAAAAGTCCCATGTTCTGGGAAACCTCTTGGTCCTAAGCAAACTGGTCCGGGTGGTCACTTTGGTTTTCCCTCAATGAAAGGGGCAGCCAGCACTCTTCTCACTGGGCAGAGTGGGTTGAATTGTGCCTCCCAGGAAGACACGGCTTGTGAATGTGTCCTTATCTGGAAGTAGGGTGTTTGCAAACAGAATTAGGAGTCTTGAGATCAGATCGCCTGGCTTAGGGTGTGCCCTCAATCCAGTGACTGGCCGGAAAAGGAAAAGGAGAGGGAGATTTGAGACAGGCACGCCAAAAATGAGGAAGAGACTGGAGTGACAAAGCCACAGCAAGAACATCTGGGTCCAGGCAGGGATTTGGCTCAGTGGCTCCATGCCTGCCTTGCAAGCACAAGGTCCTACGTTCAATTCCTGGTACCAAAAAAAATCTGGCTCCATGAAAGAGGCAGGAAGATCGGCCCAAGAGCCTTGGAGACAGCGTGGTCCTGGTGACTCTGGACTTCTGACTTCTGGCCTCCAGAAGTGTGAGAACCCTATGCTGCTGCTGGAAGCCACAGCTCATGGCAGTTTGTCGCAGCAGCCCAGGGACATGGACACACCAGGGAGAGATGAATCTCTCTTATGTGCCATTCATCCACATTCCCCGGCTTACCTTCCACTCTGCCAGTATCCTCCGTGGAAAAACAGGAAGAAAGGCAGGGCTGGAAGACAAAATAGTGCTGGGTGAGCGGGCGCCAGGCTGACTCTGCCTCAGGCTGCCAGCCCGCCTCAGCTCACCTTCTGACTGCACATCAGGGAAGTAGATGTCCATTCTGTCCCCTTTGCCATCCCCGTAGGGGGCGTGCAGCTGGCACCTCCTGGTGGCCTGGGCATTCTTGGTGGCTACCTCAGGAAAGAGACAAGTCACTGTCAGTGCGAGGAGAAACCTTTGTGCTGCCGGCACGATTGGGTTAATAAGTCAGCTTTAAGGCCGGGGACTTAGCTCCGTGTTTTCGCCGCCCGTTGCGAAAGTGCAAGGACCCGAGTTCAATCCCCGGTACCAAAAAAAAAAAGTCAGCTTCAGCTGGGAGCCCCTCCCCTGGAAAGGGGAACAAGTCTTCCTGTCCACCCAGACCCTCATGGGAACCTGTGGTTCTGACTGGCACGACTTTCACTGCACCTTATTGTGTGCTGATTATACGCACTCCATTGGCTATGTGCTCTGGGAAGCAAATAATCTTTTAGGGGAACAAGACATAAACTCACTTGAAATAAATAGATAATGAGCACTGGGCATGTTGGTGCACATCTGTAATCCTAGCACTTTGGAGGCTGAGGCAGGAGGATCACTGAGTTTGGGGCCAGGCTGGTCTACATAGTGAGTTCAAGGTCAGTCTGCACTACATAGAGACCCTATCTCAAAATCACAAAACAAAGGGCTGGGGATTTAGCTCAGTGGTTCTGCCACCTGCCTGGAAGGCACAAGGTCCCCAGTTTGATCCCGGTACCAAAAACAAACAAACAAACAAAAAACCAAAACCACCTGTCAGTGGTGCCACAAGTCTGTAATTCCAGGACTCTGGAAGGCTGAGGCAGGAGGGTCACAGGCCCAAGTCCAACCTGGGCGGTTTAGCAAGACCCTGTCCTTACTACTACTAATAATAATTATAATAATAATTATAATAAAAGGGCTGGGTACGTAGCTCAGTGGAAAGGCCCTGAGTTCAACCCCCAGAACTACACAAATGAAAACAAACCAAAGTGCAAGGTCCTAAGTTCAATCCCCGGTACCAAAAAACAAAACAAAAAAGACTGGACACAGCCCAAGGGACCAGTGATAGAAGATTGGTTAAATACCTTATGGTACGGGTTGAGCATTCCTAATTTAAAAATTTGAAATCAAAAATGCTCCAAAATCTGAACTTGCTCCTTCCATGAGTTCAAGGCCAGCCTGAAACACATAGGGAGACCTTGTCTCAAAAAAAAAAGTGAAAATACCATATTGTACTGTACTGCCATTTTAGGGTAACTGTGAAAGTGAAAATGGTTTATTTATAGTATTTTTGTGTTTGGATTTTTTATGCTTTCAATTGTATATTTGTGTCAAAGGTGTATAAGACTCACTGTGTTGGACTTACACTCTCCTGGAATGGAACTCTTTCATAAGTCAGGGACTTACTGTGTAATGATGACCACGTAGGCTTCTTCCTGGTACAGACAGAATACTGGGGGCTGACGAATGCCCTCCCCTCCACCCACTTGAGCTCAGGCATCACCCTAGGAGCGTTCTACATAACCACAGACCAAAGCACATGCGGCCTTTTTTCTCTTCTCTTGATCCCCAAAGCCTAATTTTTCTGCACTGTGTGCAGTGTTCCTTTTCTATGGTCCCAGCACCATTTCTCTGTTCCTGACCTCTGATAAATGTAGCTGCTTTTTCCTAACCGTTGAGTGTAGGTTTTGCAATTCTTTGCTTGCCAAACACAAGCGCTTGGAATCTATCTGTCTGATCCACCATGCGGTTACATTTGGTGAGCCAGCCAGGAGACTCACCAGGCACCAGCAGACCTCAGCAGTCACTGGCAGCCAGGCAATTGAGCCAGGAGGAAGGGTTCTCCCCTCTTGGGAAGACTTTCTCTCTTCTCCTTTTTAAAAGCACCCTTGGGTGCATGCTTGCTGGGGTGCACAGCATAGATTCCTGGAATGAATGGCTGATTTTCCATTTGGAGATGACCAGATTGTGGACTGAAAGGCTTCAGCCTTTGCAGGGAGTAGGAGGGCCGTTGTGGGTCAGTTGTAGTACTTTACTGATGCCCCTCACAGTGTACGGATGTTCTCAGCATCTGTGGTTCCCCAGGCCCCTGAGGAGCTGTAGCTGAGCAGAATGGAGCAGGCCAGGGAGCTGGAGTCAGGATGCCGTGACCTGGACAGTCTTCCAGGTGGCTTCCTTGGAGTTCCTCAGAAGACTGGGGAGTATGGGCTGGGTCTACCTAATGTTACTGCTTCTCTTTGTAGAGTAGTTGACCACATGTCCTGTGTCACATAAACCTCAGCAGCCACTTGCTTAGCACCGAGACTGTCTGAAGGGGACTGAGAGTCGTAGGCTCACACTTCATGAGTGGGCTTTTCAGGTTACTTTCGTTCCCCTCTTCCTCGAGGGAATTCTGGTTCCCTTTTCCCCACCCTCCCAACTCCGGCTTTTCCAATAGGTTTAAAGGAAATGGCACCTGTGCTCATTCAAGGCTGGAGACGCCCAGGCCCAAGGGGTTCAGCTCTGCCAGGAGATGCTGGATGTGAGAACTGGACAGGGTCCCACAGGGCGGCCCTGAATGAATCTTGAAAACATGCTGAGTGAAAGAAGCCAGGCACCAAAGCTATATGGTATATGATTGGGGCGGGGGGCAGTTTGAGACAGGGTCTCACTATGTAACCCAGGCTGGCTTTGAACTCGAATTCATGGAGATTCTCCTACCTCAGCCTTCTGAGCGCTGGGATCACAGGTGTGCACTACCACACCTGGCAGTGTATGGTTCTATTCTCATGAAACATCCGGAACAGGTAAATTTGTGGGGGCAGAAAGCAGCTGGTAGTGACAGGGACTGGTCACGTGCGGGTCCATAGGGAGTGGCTGCTCAACCATGGGGAGTTTCCTGTTAGGATGATGAAAATGTTTTGGAACTCTGTAGCAGTGATGGTTAAGTAACACTGTGAATGTACAAAATGCTGCTGGAGGGCTGGGGATTTAGCTCAGTGGCACCACGCCTGCCTCATAAGTGCAAGGTCCTGAGTTCAATCCCCGGTACCACAAAAAACAAAAAACCTAAAAAGCAAACTGCTGCTGGATTGTACACTTGAAAATGGCTAACACAGCAAATTCTGCGTTGTGTGTATTTTATCACAGGGAGCAAAGGCCAAGGCTTGTATTTTTTGTGCCTTCATTTTCTTCCTTTCATTTTTCTAGTGCAGAGGAAAAACTGAACCCCAGGTTCAATTCTCAACATCACCAAAAAAGAAAGTAGATAAATAAAATGTAGTATTCTTTTTTTTTGGGTTCCGGGGATCTAACTCAGGACCTTGTGCTTACAAGGCAGCCATGGTGCCACTGAGGTAATTCCCCAGCCCCCAAATATGGGATTCTTACTGAAGGCCACAGTAGAACAAACTTAAGCCTGGTGCACCACTTACATGGGAGGCTGAGGCAGGAGGCAGGATTGGAGGTTTGATGCCAGCCTGGGTGAGACAAGAAAATGAAGGGACAAAGGGCAAAGGCCTGAGCAAAACTAAATAAACTAAGTGGACCAAGAGCCAAGAGATAAGCTTCGGGGGAGGCCAGAGCTGCAAGAGACAAAGGGCTCTTTTTTTTGGGTAGTGGGGATCAAAGCAGAACCACTGAGCTAAATCCCTGGCTGACAAAGGGCTCTTAAAATCCACTGGCACCATGGGGAAGCAGCACTGAAGCAGCCACATACGTTTTTGCATGCGTTCTGCTCCCTCTCCAGAGAGCTGTCTATTGGCGAAGCCCAACCAACCTCCAATGCTGCTTGACAAGGTTCCAGCTGGGGGAAAGAAAGGGGGGAACACATCGTACCCTCATGTGTTATTTTTTTTCTTGCCATAATGTTTATAATTGTTCCTCTGGTCACAGGAGTCATTGTGTTTGTGACTAACAACAAACTTTCCATGAGGCTAATGGGCAATGATATATTGAAATTTGATCTGGCTCACAAGTCCCAAATTCCAGTTTCTCTTAGTTCTATTGCCACATCCACTCCTAAAGAAACCTCTCCTAAAACCCCCGCTGTTTTCCCACTACTATGACTCCCTCTCTTATTGCTGACATTCTTTTTACTTAAAGGGGTCTTACAAAGAGATTGGAAGGACAGACTTGAGATGTAAGAAATAGTGGGAAATGGGAAATAAAAAGAACGTTAAGACAGGTAAATGCATTAAGGAGGCAAATTACTCAATATCTCTCAAAGTGCTGTAAATATCTCCTGCTCACGGACTATGAACCCAAATGACATTTAGTTAAGATGAATAGAGCTAATAGCAAACTATATGAACCATTGTGCAGTTTCTCAAGGGCTAGCTGGTGACCACAAGTTTGACATTTAATTTGATTAAGTTACTTTCTGTTCTGCTTAGGTATGGGACAATGAGGGAACCTGAACATTGCTTGTAAAGGTTCTTTTCTCATCGCCAGCCCAGGACATCTCCCCTTCCTACCCTACATCGACTGCGGCTGGTCCACGGCAGTATATAAGCTTCTGCATGATGGGGCCTCTGGTCTCCTCTTGCCCCCTTCATCGAGTAAGGACTTTCCTTTTCGTTCTTTCTAATAAACACATATCCAGTCCTTCCCCACCACCTGCTGTATTCTGTGTCACCTCAGAACGAGAACCCTGGAGCAGGAAAGAGCTGGTCAAATCTTTGGTACCCAATGTGGGGCCCTCATCTTCTCTAAGGAGAAGTATGGTGGAAAGGCCAAACCACATGTTCACTGCCCTCTCTCTCTCTCTCTCTCTCTCTGAAACAGGGTCTCACTATGTAATTTAAGCTGGCTGGGAACTTGCTATGGACCCCAGTTTAGCCTCAAATTCCTGGCAATCCTCCTGTCTCAGCCTCTGGAGTACTAGGATCATAGGCATGTGCCACTGTGCCCAGCTCTCTGTCCCTTTGTGGGAATATAAAAAACAGGGGCCAGGGATTTAGCTCAGTGGTTCCACCGCCTGCTCGCAAGCACAAGGACCCGAGTTCAATCCCTGGTACCAAAAAAATAAATAAAAATAAAAAGTAAAACACAGCGGGCAGTCTGCTGACCAGTTAAGAAGCTCTCAGAGCAGCCACCACTTTTGAAGCAGAGGACAGGTTCCCCAGCACCTCCTGGTTAACACCCACTGAAA